TTCCACCAGCACCCAGAGGTGCTTTTTAAATTTTTATCAGAGGTACCGTCTTACACGAAGCACTTGCTGCCCTCTCCCCTCCTCCAACTACTCTTGGCCAGTGGGTCCTCCTTGCATCCATCTAGAATGGCCTTCTTGTCTCAATCCTGACATTTACTTCTTCACTGAGCTCCTGCAGAGAGGGTGCCTGTACAGCGGGAGTCCATATCTATTAAATTTAACTACGTAGATTTTTAAAATAGTTTTTTTTTTTAATTGAGGTAACATTGGTTTATACTAAATTGATTTTTAATCTTTTAGAACTTCCAGTAGTTCCAAGCTTTTTTCAGCATCAGGGTCTTTGCATAATTAGTTCTGTCTGGAACAATTTCTCCTTATTTCCTACATAGCACATGGTATCATTTCAAAGTATTTAAGAAGGCAGTAGAGCTGGTGGTACTGACGTCAGAGTGCCTAGTTTCAAAATGCAAAGCGGGCGGCCTTACGCACCGTTCTTCCTGTGGGCTCATGCTTCAGCTCCTGGTGTGTAAATGGGACTAGCAGTCCCACGAGCATTGCTGAATTACATCCTATGTGCTAAACGGCTGGTGCCTGGCATGTAGCCGACACCTACCGTGCTCTCGTAAACATGTATGTATGTTTCTAATTACTGGTGCCACTTCCCAGTAGGCTCCAAGGAGCTAGGGATTCCAATGTCTCCCTCACTCCTGCACCCCAGGGCCTCGCAGGGCACACGGGCAAGTGCAGAATAAACTGTGCTGTCTGGCCTTTCGCCTCGTGGCTTCAGAGAGCAGGATGGGTCGCCAGCACCTCTCCTGGAGCCAACGGAGAAAATTCGGCCAGGGTTCTCATTCTTGCCTTCTGCTCAAGCTGCCGGTCTGACCCGGAAATCCGGCCTCAATCTGCGCGGCCAGTGTTTCGGTCAGTACTCGAAGGACGCAGGCTTGTCGGAGGTGGACTAAGCGAACGTCCATGAACGGTCATTCAAGACATCTACCTTTCCGCAGGAGGCTAGCTCTCTGTACGCACAATAAAAACTTCAAACAGAAACAAAGCTGTGCAATGGCATGGCTGGATAGTGACCACTTCCCTGTAGAATGCGACTGGAGATGAGAGCGCGCTGAGCCTGCTCTCAGGGTGACGCCAGAAGCGTGGCAGTGGCTTCTTTCATCACCAATGGCGTCCTGACCCCGAGGCTCACTTGGCCACATAACCAGCCACTCTGTTTTTTCAGTTTAATAAAAACATTTGGGTGAAAGTTGGATGAGTGGAGTCAGTCTCGGATTTTTATTAGAGGAGACTGTGCTCTCATTTAGCTCACTGGGAAGCGGGGCTGACTAAGGCGTTGTTGGAATACACAGGCTCGGGTTAAGGTTGTTGGAATACACAGGCTCGGGTTAAGGTTGTTGGAATACACAGGCTCGGGTTAAGGTTGTTGGGAGAGACAGGCTCGGGTTAAGGTTGTTGGAATATACAGACTCCGGTTAAGGTTGTTGGGATAGACAGGCTCGGGTTAAGGTTGTTGGGAGAGACAGGCTCGGGTTAAGGTTGTTGGAATATACAGACTCCGGTTAAGGTTGTTGGGATAGACGGGCTCGGGTTAAGGTTGTTGGAAGAGACGGGCTCAGATTAAGGTTGTTAGGATAGACGGGCTCAGATTAAGGTTCTAAGGATAGACGGGCTCGGGTTAAGGTTGTTGGGATAGACGGGCTCGTGTTAAGGTTGTTGGGATAGACGGGCTTGGGTTAAGGTTGTTGGGATAGACGGGCTCGGGTTAAGGTTGCTGGGATAGACGGGCTCGTGTTAAGGTTGTTGGGATAGACAGGCTCGGGTTAAGGTTGTTGGGATAGACGGGATCGGGTTAAGGTTGTTGGGATAGACAGGCTCGGGTTAAGGTTGTTGGGATAGACGGGCTCGGGTTAAGGTTGTTGGGATAGACGGGCTCGGGTTAAGGTTGCTGGGATAGACGGGCTCGGGTTAAGGTTCTAAGGATAGACGGGCTCTGGTTAAGGTTGTTGGGATAGACCGGCTCGGGTTAAGGTTGTTGGGATACACAGGCTCGGATTAAGGTTGTTGGGATAGACGGGCTCGGGTTAAGGTTGTTGGGATAGACGGGCTCGGGTTAAGGTTGTTGGGATAGACGGGCTCGGGTTAAGGTTGTTGGGATACACAGGCTCGGGTTAAGGTTGTTGGGATAGACGGGCTCGGGTTAAGGTTGTTGGGATAGTCGGGCTCGGATTAAGGTTGTTGGGATAGACGGGCTCGGGTTAAGGTTGTTGGGATAGACGGGCTCGGGTTAAGGTTGTTGGGATAGACGGGCTCGGGTTAAGGTTGTTGGGATACACAGGCTCGGATTAAGGTTGTTGGGATAGACGGGCTCGGGTTAAGGTTGTTGGGATAGACGGGCTCGGGTTAAGGTTGTTGGGATAGTCGGGCTCGGATTAAGGTTGTTGGGATAGACGGGCTCGGGTTAAGGTTGTTGGGATAGACGGGCTCGGGTTAAGGTTGTTGGGATAGACGGGCTCGGGTTAAGGTTGTTGGGATAGACGGGCTCGGGTTAAGGTTGTTGGGATAGACGGGCTCGGGTTAAGGTTGTTGGGATAGACGGGCTCGGGTTAAGGTTGTTGGGATAGTCGGGCTCGGGTTAAGGTTGCTGGGATAGACGGGCTCGGGTTAAGGTTCTAAGGATAGACGGGCTCGGGTTAAGGTTGTTGGGATAGACGGGCTCGGGTTAAGGTTCTAAGGATAGACGGGCTCGGGTTAAGTTTGTTGGGATAGACGGGCTCGGGTTAAGGTTCTAAGGATAGACGGGCTCGGGTTAAGGTTGTTGGGATAGTCGGGCTCGGGTTAAGGTTGTTGGGATAGACGGGCTCGGGTTAAGGTTCTAAGGATAGACGGGCTCGGGTTAAGTTTGTTGGGATAGACGGGCTCGGGTTAAGGTTCTAAGGATAGACGGGCTCGGGTTAAGTTTGTTGGGATAGACGGGCTCGGGTTAAGGTTCTAAGGATAGACGGGCTCGGGTTAAGTTTGTTGGGATAGACGGGCTCGGGTTAAGGTTCTAAGGATAGACGGGCTCGGATTAAGGTTCTTGGGATACACGGGCTCGGATTAAGGTTGTTGGAAGACACGGGCTCGGGTTAAGGTTGTTGGGATAGACGGGCTCGGATTAAGGTTCTTGGGATAGACGGGCTCGGGTTAAGGTTGTTGGGATAGACGGGCTCGGATTAAGGTTGTTGGGATAGACGGGCTCGGATTAAAGTTTTTGGGATAGACGGGCTCGGGTTAAGGTTGTTGGGATAGACGGGCTCGGGTTAAGGTTGTTGGGATACACAGGCTCTGGTTAAGGTTGTTGGGATAGACGGGCTCGGGTTAAGGTTGTTGGGATAGACGGGCTCGGGTTAAGGTTGTTGGGATACACAGGCTCTGGTTAAGGTTGTTGGGATAGACAGGTTCAGGTTAAGGTGTTGGGATAGACAGGTTCAGGTTAAGGTGACCTTGCTCTACAGACAACAGAGAATGGGGTGATGACCGAACAAAATGACAAACAGGATCAAGATACCATGGTGATGTGGGCAGCCCATTCAGCAGGTTAAACCCCAACGGGGATCCTGTAATTTGTTTTCAGTGAAAACCTTAGCTTCTGCTCGTAAAAACCACCTTATAACAAAAAAGTAGACAGCAGAGAGGAAAGGACAACTTTTCGCTTTTTAGAAGCGAAATAGCAAAGTTCTGTAGAAAAAGGAACATCTGGCCAGCTTTCCTAGATTGTAGAAATTTTTTTAAATCGCTAAACTTTCAACAACAACAAAAAATTAAAACAGTCCGGCTGGTGTGGCTAAGTGGTTGAGCACTGACCCATGAACCAGGTCACAGTTTGATTCCCGGTCAGGTCACATGCCTGGATTTTGGACTCCATCCCCAGTGTGGGGCGTGCAGGAGGCAGCCGATCCACAACTCTCTCATCACTGATGTTTCTTTCTCTTTCTCCCTTTCCCTTCCTCTCTGAAATCAATACAAATATATTTTAAAACAGTAAGTCAGTGGGTAAAGGGAGGAGGATAGTTACGCTGGGAAACGAGGCGGAGGGAGGTCCCGTGGCCGGATGTGCCAGGGCAGGGAGGGTAAAACAGAGGTTACCTATTCTCAGCCCCGGTGAGCTCTGCTCACAAGGCTAGGAGTCTGCCCACCGCGCCCCCCCCCGCCCCCCCCCGCTGCCAGACGGCCCAGCGCCTGCCAGGAGAGCCGGCCAGCTCCTTGGGTTTCCGGCTGCGGCGTTGGCATTGCTCCTTCTGCTGGCAGTTGCTCACGTTCACCATGGCCTGCGTGCCCCGCACCTGCGCCTGTGCCCTATGTGTACCGCATTACCCCGTCGCAGAGGGTGCCAGTCATGGCTGCAGAGGTGGACCTGGGCCGGCGCTAGCGCCGCAGAGGAGGCGGAGCAGGTCCCGCCCACAGGCCGAGTCCCGCCTCTAGACCAGAGAAGGAGCCACTGCCTTTGGTCCCTGCTTAGGAAGGACAGGATGGCGCAGGCTCCCTGGGTGGGCAGGGGACAGAGGGCTTCCCAGCAGCTCCTGCTCCCCCCAAGAACACAGAATCTCATCCTCACGACCCGAATACCCTCTCTGGTTTGTAGTTTCCCATCTAGAGCCTTCGATCTCCAGCCGGATAAAGGAAGCCGTTCCAGCCCTGTCTGGGGCTCGGTCGTGTGGAGCATCGGCCAGTGCACCCAGAGGTTGCAAGTTCCACGCCCGGTCAAGGCACAACCCAGGTTTCATGTTGGGTCCCCGGTGGGGGCACATCCGGGAGGCAACTGATCGATGCTTCTCTCCCTTCCTCTCTTTCTAAAAATTAGTCAAAAACATATCCTCGAGTGAGGATTTAAAAAAAAGGCAAAAAGCAATTCCAGCCCTTTGTGGCCCAATGAGAAACACGGGAGGGCTGAGGAGAGGCGAGGGCGTAGCAGGGGGGGAGGGGAGGCGGGGCCCTCGCGGCTGACTTACCGCCTTCTGGCTCCCTGTGCTGTCCGTGAGCAGCCACTCGATGTCCAGGGCGCCTTTTTCTTGCAGCCCCAGCTGATGGTGACAGGGCAGAGTGACCTGTTCCTCGGCCACTTTCTTGATCTCAGTGTAAGCCCCCAAGGCTCCGACACAGCAGGACACTGCAAGAGGAAGCCGGGGTGAGAATCCAGAAGCTGCAGCTGCATGGCCATGTGTGGGAGCAAACGGGCCAGCAAGCCGGGGCTGAGAGAGTCCTAGACCAGAAGTGCTGAAGCCCAGGGCCTCAGGCTGGCTCCTCCATCCTATCACCCTTCCCTGCACACCCCCACCCCCAACTACTCCTACCTTAGGGAGTTTTTCCGAACAATGAAATCACTCGGGTCAACAATACTGGTGTTCGTTTTTTCTCTCCCCTGCTAGCAGAGGCTCCAATAGGACAGAAACCGAAAGGGACAGCAGGGTTAGCGTCCTCCCCAGCACAGGCGCTGGCTCCCAGCTCACCCTTCAGGGCCTTTCGGAGCCAGGGGACCTCGGGACTCCTGAGGAGGTGCAGGCATGCCCCCCGGGAGCAAGTGGGCTCTACAGCAGCCCCTGCTTCCTTACAGGTAACCTCCTCTCTTGTCCTCCCAGCTCTGTCTTCCAGTCTGTATGCTCTCATATCCTGTGGTTTCAACCCTTTCTATTCAAAGCAAAATTCTGAGTTAGCACATTAGGATCCCATCCCTCCATTGATCCAATACCCATTTAGCCCACAGGCATTCGGCCACTTTGGCCTTCTTTCCTCTAGCTTCTGTCTTTGCAGGAATGACGTCCTGTCAGAGGCGTGGGCCTCCTGCTCGCCTCTCTCCTTCCTGTTGATCTTCGCTGGGGCTCTGGCATTGCTGGCTGTTAAATTTACAGAATTGATGACCAACGAATTGCTGTGATGAAACCCCACCTAGATTCTAGGCCTGATGTGTCTGGCATTCCAGGTGTGCCTGATCTCTGGATCTTCCTTTATCTCCTTACACGGTAATAACGAAGCAAAGCGTGCCCCAGTGGTTAGCTCAGTGGATAGAGCATGGGCCTGAGGACTGAAAGGTCCTGGGTTCGATTCTGGTCAAGAGCACATGCCCAGGTTGCAGGCTCAATCCCCAGTGGGGGGCATGTAGGAGGCAGCCGATCAATGATTCTCTCTCATCATTGATGTTTCTTCTCTTTCTCTCCTTCCTCTCTGAAATCAAATATATATATATATATGAAAAGAAAAGCGTGGCCCTGTCGGCGTGGCTCAGTGGTTGAGTATTGAACCAGGTTGCCTATGAACCAGGAGGTCATCGTTAGATTCCGTCAGGGCACATGCCTGGTTGTGGGCTCCATCCCCAGTGTAGGGCGTGCAGGAGGCAGCCCATCAGTGATTCTGTCTCATCACTGATGTTTCTATCTCTCCTCTACCTTTCTTTCTTTGAAATAAATTTTTTAAAAAATTTTAAAAAAAGAACACAGTGTGAAATACGATCTCTTTCAAGCCATTCGCGATGCAACATTAAACAACCTCCAAGTTAAAACAGCCCGAGGGCTTGTGTGAAGTCCTTTCTCCTGCAGCAAAATCGCTGCCACCTGAGAAGGGCTTTCAGCACTAAAGCCCAAGGGTCATGACCAACGGAAGCATATAAACGACCTCTCTTAGTCCGTGTTCATTTCCCAACACGACGGGCAAGAAATCTGTGGGGCAGGGAAGGGGCCGTGTTCTCGCTGCAGGAAGGTGAAGTGAGGGAGATGAGCAGGGCTGGCTGGGGGGAGCCCTCAGCGGCTCCATCTCCGAGCACAGCAGGGGGTTCCAAGTTCCCCGGCAAAGAAGGGAGCTGGTGGCTTGGCTGAGCGGAGGGGCAGCCTCAGAACCACCGGACAAGCCATTGCCGGCCTCACTGACGCTCTCAACCATGTTTCTGTTTGGACCTCGGCACTGCAATGGGAGTGGCCACCACGTGAGCACGACGCATGGTTGGCCTGGAGAATGAACACTCAAGTCTATGAAGAAACGATTACTCTCCAAGTGTATCGAGGACGTGCATAAAGGGAGTGAGCCACGCGCCAGTGTCACAGAGCTGGGAAGCGACAGCCGGGCTCCCCCACACCTGCCTCACTGCCACGCTCACGCAGGACAGCCCTGCTGTGCACGCGTGTCCTGTCTCACGTGGCTTCCCGACACCTGGCGCTCCCACTAGCCAGGAAGCGCCTTGACATTAAGCACCACTCACCACCGCCTCCCACGGCCCCCAGCCCTGGGCCTCACACACTGCAGGTGCCTAATATTCATCAGAGGGATCTGCATCTAAGCCATGCACTCACTGCACCAGTGAGCAGGCTGGGGCGCACCTCCTGCACCTCCTTCGGTGGTAGCAATGACCGTCTACGCCCACCCTCCCGCAGTCACCATAAAGCAGCCGCGGAACAGCAGGGAGATGAGCTGGTGTGCATGGGACTAAGCTAAGCTTATGAGGGGAGCTCTGGCTTCTGTCCCTGATCACTGAACACTAGACACAGCAATGCTCAGATGAAACCAGCATCCCACAGCCCTGGCAAAGCTAAAGGACCCAGCTCCAAGTTGGAGCACACAGTAGGCACTTCCTATACAATGAATAAAGAAATGCAAGAATCCGTTATGAAAGTTGCTGACTTGAGCCACTAGAGGGAATCAAAGACTCAGGTTTGGTCGATGAACACGGGTGTGTGTGTGTGGAGGGGGCGGGGGGGGGGGGGGGGGAGGGAGTGCTTTGCCAGAGCGCCAAGCTCTATTTATACCTTCCCCAGAGTTAAATAAGGCAGTGCAGGGCGGCCTCTCCCTGATGCAAGTGATGTCACCGAGACAGCGAGCCTCAAGGTCAGTGCGGCACCTCTGCTCTTCGCTGTGCCTCCGCTCCCCGGGCTCAAGGAGGCCACTGGGATCCCTGAAGATTTCTCAGGCCCTTCTGTGCTTTCTAAACCCACACCCCTGGCCTGTAGAAATGGACAGGGCCCTGGGTTCTGCATGTAACCTAGCGTGGCAATGCTTGGGGGGCTCCTGCGCCTAGGGCTCCCCTAGTGGGTAAGTGGAAGGGACAGTCTGCACCCCTGGGGGCCAGCCTTGGGTCCCCTGGCATTCAGCCACTCATCTTCATTAGGAAAGCCCTCAAGTTCATCAAGACTTAATTAGGAGGAAACTACAGCCTGGAGAATTGAAATGTCGAGGCACAAAGCTAGTTAGTGGTAGAACCACGAGTGTCAGGGATGCTTAGGGAACAGTCCCCACTGGGTGTGAGGGACGCCTGCAGCCTTTGATGGCGGGGGAGGGGGGAAGGGGGGAAAGGGAGGGCTGGAAGGCGGCAGCACACACACGTCTCCACACGCATAGTGCAGCCTAGAAGCTGTGGGCCTCCCTGTGTGCACCTCAGGGGGGTAACAAAGGGCCTGGGGAGCTGGGAGAATCCCCTCCCTGAACCTCAGTGTTCCACCTGCAGAGTGGGAATTGCATGGCCTGAGGTGCAGCGCCAGGTGAGGGCACGCGGCATCTCCAGTAAAGGCGCCTCCCTGTAGAAGAGCCCTTCTCAGGACAAGCCTGCAGTCGGCGGCAGAGATTAACTGAAGGCTTCTCTCTAAGGGGCATTTACCTTTCCTAACGATTCTCTGGAACTTCACGACCTCCTTCAAAGACATGGGGGCAGAAGTAACCTTTTTCACACTCACATTTTTATATAACTGAGTCACATATTTTGAAGAATTCATTGAGAAGATAATGGTAAATTATTAAAAGGCGATTTCTATCACCAGTTGACTATTTCATTCACATTGAAACACGCATAGGGAAGTGTTTTAAGCCTTTGTGTGCACAGAGCTAGGCTGGCCTGCTGTTGTGGCCAGGAGGTGTCTGCGGGCCCTTCTAAGAAGTTCACTTAGTCCAACTTAACGCAGCCTCCAGCCTCCATGTACTGATGGGCACTGTATGCAATTCAAGATGCAGCATGAAGCACTAGAAAGAGTATGAGCGTTGGAGTTAGATAGATGTGACTTTAACTAGTGGCCAAAAGACCAGTGGATTCCCTGACCACTCTAAGTCTTTTTCCTTCTTTGAAAAATGAGTATAAGAACATCCACTGTGAAAGATTGGTGTAAGGATGTCTGGCACTGGCACATGGTATACAGTACATTCTCAAAATGGTAATTATTATTGACAATAACTGTACACACTGTACTTTGAAAAACAAGAAACAATATGCTGAGGAGGTGAAGCAGAATTGTGAGAAGTTTGAAAGGCATTTTGCTTGACAACTGGTAATATTTGGCCGTATTGGCTTTATCTATCTAGCATCTATTTAGCTATCTATCTATTATCTATCTATCTATCATCTATCTATCTATCTATCTATCTATCTATCTATCTATCTATCTATCATCTATCTATCTATCTTCTATCTGTCAATCATCTATCTATCTATCATCTATTTATCATCTATCATCTATCTATCATCTATTGCAGCACTAAGCGTAGTTGAATGTAAGTTGCAGACAGCATGACCTTTACCTCTAAATGTTGCAAGAGGCACCTCCTCAAAGCAAGCTGCTCTTCCCACAACCATATCCTGACCACACCCAGGAGAGCGGATCATCTTGTACAGAAGAGCATTTCTGACAAGAGTGTGAGGAAGACTCGGGGGTGAGACTGACCAGTTCTGGGACGGGAGAAGGGCTTTTCCTGCACAGAGTGCGGGAAGGAAGAAGCGATCTTGGTGAAGGAGCAGCTCGAGCAGATGGGCAGCCTCTGCCCTCCCCTGCCCGCAGCCTCTGCCCTCCCCTGCCCGCCGCCCTCACCGGGAGCTAGGGAAGTTTCTCTTCCACATCTTTCCTTCCTGGTCAGCCCCAGAATAACTCTAGTCTTCTCTCTGAAGACTTTATGACGTCTTCAGAAAAGAAAAACCACATTCAACCCTGGCCAGTGTGGCTCAGTTGATTGGAGGGTCATCCTGTGCATGAAAAGGCAGCAGGTTCGATCCCCCATCAGGGCATATACCGGGATGCGGGCTTGGTCCTTGGTCAGGGAATGTTTCTCTCTCCCATCAATGTCCCTTCTCTCTCTCCCTTCCTCTCTATAAAACATCAATAAGATTTAAAAACAAGTGAAAAACCACGTTCAGTATGACCTGCT